AAAGTTCAAACTCGTAATTTTTAAATGTAACACAATAGGTTTAACCATTAAACAATTGTATTGATAATGCACATTATTATAATCGGACATTTTAATATTTAAAATAAAGAGTATTGATTCTTCTTTAACTAATCTCAATCATAAAAATGGATTTCCAATAAGTATACATATACATATACATAGATATATCTATATATATGCGTGTGAGTGTGAATCGTTGATAAACTAATGGAACTTTATAACATTTCTCGAATATATAATTTTTTTATTTTTCAAAATGTCATTTCTTTTTGAAGCAAATACGTAGATTAAAAAGTACATATTTCTAATAATTAGGAATTCATTTGTCAACCCCAAATCATCCTTAATTTTGACTAAAACTTCAACGTCACTTAAATAAAGAAATCACCAACATACATGGGAAACGAAAGCCGGAAAAAAATAAATGGAGCAAGATCCTAACACCTTTTATGAAAGAAACAATTTATCGTTCACTCAAGAAGATGAACAAAGCAATATGCCTCAAATAACTAGCTAAAATACAGCATGGACAAACCACAACACGAAGTCCAAGGCCACTTTATTTAACAACAGGAAGAGGATATAACAATCTGACGCAAAGCCTGATGAACCAAGAATATTTGCATACTGTACCACTCAAATAGTTCACAGTGACAACTACATGTTCTCAAAATGACCTATTTGATTTAGACGATGATGATGGTGAAGATTTGGCTTTGGCAAAATCAACCAGGTCTTTGAAAAGGGCATCTTCTGGTTTAACTTCTTTTGTTGGTTTAGATGAATTTATAGAGAGATTCTGTGTTTGCCCAACCAGACTATCATAAGACGAACCAGAGCCGCTGCTTGACTGTGTGGCACTGCCAGGAAAGGCATGCTGTTGTTCGAAGAATTGTTGCCGTTGGTTATACCTGGAAGGTGGGGGCGGAAGATTCCCACTTGGCTGGGTATCCCAAGGAGCTGGAGGCAGGGGCTCAGCAGATTTATTCAAGGGAGATGGTTCATCATATACAGGCTGTCCACTAAACATTGGCGGTGAAGAAGAGTTGGTGGCATGCGAAGGCAGTCTCGATGGAGAGTTGGAAAAAGAGTGAGTTGGAATTGCAAAAGAAGAATGCTCTGGTTCAGGTGACCCTTCACACTTGTAAGCTTCTCCACTGAGATAGTCAATTACACCAGCATCACTACTTACCGGTCTCTTCGACGAGGGTGGGGGTGGAAGAAGGGGGCTAACACGAACAGATTCAGCATTGGTGCTGGCTGGCTTCCTGCCTAGTCCCTGTGAATTATCTCTTGAGGACCTGCAGAAACGGATTCAGAAATAAGAGAGAAATTTCCTAGTTGGTTAAATGAAAATTTAGGAAAACTGAGACAAAGTAGTCATTCTTCCACAGAAGCTTGCTTCAGTCATCCGGGCCGTACATAAAAGCAACAAATGAAAGATTATAGTACCCTTTGGTGCATGCAAATTTTGTTAGTTTTTATTTTCTAAATTTATATGCTTTTCTTGCACAAAATACTATAAATTAATTAACAATGGAGTGAATAATAGTAAAAATGATCCTAATGAAAATAATGATAAGACAAGAAAATTTTAAAATGTTATTTTTAGTATTTTTAGAATCTATTTTGTTTGTGCTTTAATTTATTATACAAATATACAACTCTAAGCTACTTTCATGAATAAATACATGCACATATATGGATTTAGAAAATGAAACTAAAAAATATTTTCATATGTTTAAGTACACCTGTGAGCCAGCTGGGCAAAATCATCTTCTGACTCATCCTCCTCTTGATTAACATTAACAAGTGGCACAGCAGGAGTTTCCGTTGTAACTGCTGCTGCAGTGGGGGTACCTTTCACAATATCATCATGCCGACGAAGAACACGCTGTAGGTTATCGTTCAGTGCCAATCCCTGACACAGAAGTTCCTCGTCCCTGAAAAAGGAAAAGCACAGAAACTATTAACACTATCAGTATCAATATACCAACAGTACAACAACTATATTGGATCAAATCCTTACACAGTATTATTCACAAGAAGCATGACACGCTTCTGATAAGATTGGCATTGGTCAACAAGGTCAACAATCACTTCTTGCTTCACTCCCTGCCACAAAATCCAGAATTATAAGGACAAAAAAGATGACTATTCCATTAGGCTGTTTTCCTTTGTTTTCTCTACCAAGCAGTTGAGAACAAGACACTCGGGATATGCATAAGGTAGTGATATCTGAAATCTCCAAATCTGCTACCAAACTATCTGAAAAACCTCGGTTGGATAAAAAGTAAATGGTGTAATTACTAATTACAAAAAGAACAAAGCACATTTCTCCCTTGCTGCAGATGGATTAGGTTTATATTTCCTTAAAAGATTAGAATTATTATTTTTTAAATATAAAATTATTAGCACTACTTAGAAGTCTACTATCATGATTTTAATTTTAGTATTTTATTCTTTTATGTAGTTCTATTTTTATTATCAGTATCTTTTTAGTTTAATCTTATTTGAAAAAAAACTGATCCGAACGCATTATAAATACTTTTGTAATTTTACCTTGAGAAAGTTCAGTCATTCAATAAAATATCTGAATTTTTTTTTAATTTTCTAGTTGTGCAATGCAAAATTTGTGATGCTTAAGACTTCGTAAATGTTATATCTAACAAACCCCCCCCCCCGGTGTCATATCAAGATTTTTATCTCTAAATGTCCATCATACAGTATCAAAACGAAAGGTTCATATATCAAACACTCAAAATCCCACATCATTGCAGAGAGCTACTCTGTCGCGTGGCGCTGGTTTGCTTCTCTTCCTCGATGCCGCTGGTTTGCTTAGAAGTAGAGAAGAAAGAAGCGTAGAGTCCTGAGGAGAAAAGAGGGATTTTGGGTATAGGTGGGACTGGTCAACCAACAGCTTCACTATTTATAATGGTTTTTTTTTTTTAATTTGTCGACCTATTTGAATGGATTCAAATATAATTTTTTTAAATATCACGTCGTATAATACGTGACATCTAATATAACATTCAACTTACAATCAAACCAAGGTGTCATGTGTTAGTAATTTAACACGTAACGTCTAAATTAACAGTGTCAACAATTAGTAATAAAATAAATTGAAAACTTCACAAAATAACAGAAACTAATTTAGACCAAAATAGAGGCAATAGCTAATTTGAAAAAAATAAATAGTATACAGACCAAATTATTATTTTAGCCAATATATATGTATCTAGATATAATATACAAGGCATTAATATATTGTGACTACAATATATAAATGAATATAAACATATGTTTGTATACATAAGAGTATATAATATATATATATTTAACAGAAAAATTAATTAAAAAGTGTGATTTGAATTATTATTTGTACAATAGTATTAAGTCATAAAAATTAATTAATTTTTTATTTTTTTATAATTTTAATAATATTTGAACTTTTAATGACAGGCAGTGGTGGAAGAGACAGAGGGCGAAGACTGGAGGGTGGGTGACAGAGGAAAGCCAGCAGGCATCAAAGGATGGTCGATGAGTCGAGACAGCATGTATCCCTTGACACTCCGTCCAAGATAAGGAAATTGTTTGTTTCAAATGTGGACAAGTTAGACATATGAGCTACTCGTGCCCAAAGATCAACAACTTGCAAGTTAGACTGGAATAAAAAGATGGGATGCAAGGAAGAGAGGACGGTTATCTATCTCTTGATGATGATGATGATTTAGTTGACGATGGACAAGCAAGTACCCCTCTTTTATCTGTAAGTAAGATGCATCTTAGCAGCACCTAAAGTGGAGAAACAAGAAAAACCACAATGTCTTCCCTTTGTTTAAGATCCTTCCCTAAAAGAGTCTTATGGAAGTTCCACAGAAGGCGAAAATTGACACAACAATTTATCAATATCTTGATTTCACCCTATCATACTCCTAAACAATTGTGTGTTCCCATTATTTTTGGCGTTGAAAAGAATGACCAAACACAAAATCTGCTAAATTTTATTGGCCATAGTATATTTGTTATTAATTGGGTCCTCACTCTCCTCTGCTACTTGCAGAAACTAGAAAGGTTGTCAATAAGAGGTCTAAGCACAACATCAAAACATCTAAAGAAGCCTACATCATATGCTCAATAATACTCATTACAAACATGAGGATAAAAGTAAATGCAGCACATATTGCCCATCAGCGGAGAAAGGTCTATAAACATGCGGTCTATAAAACATTCAATAGAAATACCAAAAATACATCTTAACATCTTCCAAGAGTATGTTAAAATGAAGACTTACCTCAGGATTCTTAGGATCCAATGCACTAAGCATTTCCATCAAAACATCAGCGAGTCCTCGAGCAGATTGAATCTCTGCCAAGCTGGAAAATTTTATTTATTAATATAGCATATGTTCACGAGCAAAAAATAAAAGCGTGCTTCTAATGTTTAATGGTTTAACCGAATGGACATCACGACAGGTCCAGCTACCAGGTGGGCTACCAGGTCCAGCTACCAGGTGCTTCTAATGTTTAGTGGTTAAGGACTTGGAACATCTATTGCAGAATCCAATCAAGTAGAAAAACAGAAGAATTTTGAAAGATCCTTATCATTCAAAAAATTATACCACAGTTTGGAGGTTTTTTAATTTACTACCAAAGTTAAGCACCATTTTTATAATTTCTACTCAATCTTTACCAGAAGTTCCACCATTTTTATCATAAATCATTCTATAATTAGAAAACACCAGACACAAAGCTAAACCTTAAAAAGTTAACACAAATTCAACTCAAGCAGATGGCAGACCACTGATATGAAATCAGGACTAATGAATTGAAGGATTCCATATCACGAGTACATTAATCAAGCCAGCTGGCCAATTTTTAATATCTAATCTAATTGCATCAGTTCACAATTTTTCTAATGTTGTGTAGTTAACCTAAGAAACTGATTCAATAAAAAATATCGCAATCATCTAGCAAAGCAGCTAAGAAGAATGCTATGGCTAGAGTAGAAAATGAAATGCATCCTCCCTTTGCAAGGAATTGAGGACCACCTCAATTCCTCTTTCTTTATGTAGCAAAGGGCAGTGATTCTTCAAGTGGAACAGAACTTTGCCATCTGGGGAACACCACTATGCCAAAGGCTTGATGTAGCTCTGTATTTTTTCTTAATTTCAAATTTCAAGGAGAAAAGTGAAACGGGAAACAAATTTTGTAGTGGTTGCGTGATTAACAAAATCTCCAAACCTGGCCTACAAGGAAGATATTAACTAAATAATGGAAGGAAGGGATGGGGGACCATGACAAGGCTTTCATAGAACTGAGTTTTAACTATGTTAGAACACTGAGCATCACTGGATATCTTATCATCATTTATTGAGCAAAAGAAAAAAGGCTGAATAAGAGCCAACATCTAACATTCTGCAGGACCTCTATAGAGAACCTTTAAAAGGTGCATGACTACAAAAAAGAGCATATAAAGTTCTTAGGAAAGAAGTTTCTTTCTTCAGTATTTCTCTGGAGAAACACATGTGAAATTGATGTTTTATGTGCGTCCAACACATGCATGTGATGTGTAATAAAAAAA